AAGCGGAAAACTTAAGGTCGCACTAGGCAAAGGCCCGCGATGACAGATTTCCACCGCAAAGTAAACAAATTCTGGCAAAGATTTCCCAAGTGCGACCCATACCTTTTGCTCTATCTTCTTTGAATTCCGGAAATGTTGGGTAGTGCAACATAAAGCCCGTTTCCTTGTTTACATAGACAATTTTCTGTATAACCTCTATGTCGCAACATTTTTAAATCGCTGCTCTGAAAGTGTCGTTCTTTGTAAACAAAAGCTGCGCATCTCCTCAAAAGTGAAAATAATTGATACTGAAAGCCACCACGCTTAATGAATTGCATCTCAAAACGCGGCACTTCTGGGTGACGAAAATTGCATTGAATTGCGTGACAGAAGTCACCTGTGCTGCAAATCAATGATTAACTACGACCTCGATATAACGAACATTTTGGTCGTTTCCCCTCAAATTCGTTATATCGAGGTTTTCGATATAACGAACCCTCGATTTAACGAACAAATTTGGCCGGTCCCTAGCGACTTCGTTAAATCAAGGTTCCACTTGTAGCAGGCAGGCAGGCAGACAGACAGACAGACAGACAGACAGACAGACAGACAGACAGATAGACAGACCGACAGACCGACACAAACACACACATTGCAACATTTCGGACTTTCAGCTGGGCTACTCTGGCTCCATCTAAAGCAGCTACCTTACTAACACAGACAGTTCAGTGGTACTGGCAACATAAACGAGGAATGAATTGCAACAACTGATTTACACTTACTTCTTGGAGGCGGAGTGGACGGTACGGTACGGATAGGCGGTCTCGTTGGTGTAGGTACTTGAAATAAAAACAAAAAGGTGTGATATAATGGGAATTTTTGCATATGATATTTTATATACATTATCACTGATAAGGTATTCGTTGCCATATGTACATTTTTGTTCAGACCGACCAGTGATTTGGTTAGAACGGGACAAGTACATATGATGCTCGATGGCTTTTCTCTAAAGTTTTCGATGTGCAAAACCAAGGCCCTAGCTAAATAGTTGAAGTACTTTTGATATGAATTATTCATAACATAGGTTAATCGTTTGTGGGCTATCGCTAATACTCATAGGAAAGCCCAAATTTTAATAAACTAAGCAAAAAGGAGGATTTACAGCTTGAAGGATCACGCCGAACGATGAACTTTACAACGGCATGCACAATTAACGCTCTCCAGTCGTGGCCTTTTGTACAACTAACTACGGACTTAGCTTGGTTGTACTGAATGAAGAATCTCGCAAACTTACCTGGCAGGAAGCACTTTTTCTTTGCCTCAAAGATCTGTTTCTTGGTCAAGGGTAGGCTATAAAGCTGCAAACAGAAGAGCTTTCCCCGGAAATAGCTTCGACTTCTTCTGATAGCACCAAGTCGAATAGGATAGTTGGTGGAGAGACGTACTCTCCCTAGTCTACGCCTCGCTACCGGATGCGAGTTTACCCACAGCGTCGCGACACCAGATCGCTCGTCATAAGTGGCACCGACGTAATTCCAAGCACGGTATTTAAACCGGTTGCTCCGTAAAGGCGGAGTCCTTCGCCCATTGCGGTGCATAAAGCGAACGAATAATTGCCGCCTGCCCGTCATCCACAGATGAACACCAAATCCATTCGGATTATAATTGACAATCGGACCGCGATTCCCATCGTGGTACACCCAGATCAAGATAGTAATTGAATACCTCGCGTCCAGTCTTCCAGTGTTAGAAATTTCAACGTAGCTGGTGCGTCTTCCGAAGAACACGGTGGAGCCGTCTGTACGGCCATCAGGGCCCTGTCCGTATTTCACGCCTACAATTCGTGCGCTCGGGTTTCTACTCCGACTGATGTCTCGTCCTTGTCTCCGACGATCAAAGGGATAGACAGCCAGGGTACTTGGTAGACGCACTGAATGAAAAAAGAACAACAAGCAAACAAAACGTTAATGATTCAATCCGTACACCTAAAAAGGTTTAAAAGAAAATAGCTAACTGGCAGGTAAGTCGACTTTCATAACTTGAGACATACAAATAGAGGCATTGACATCAAAAGGACATCAACTAAACTTTTACAGTTGCACTGTCAAAACATAACTTGCCACGTATTTTGCTAAGAGATAAACTTACCCCTTGGTGTTGTTGGTACTGAAAAAACAAAGACAGGAAAAATGTTTGATAAACACCAGAGTAGGTAAAGTGTGGTACCCCCCGCACAACACATGTTTTCATTAGTTTTTACTCTTTAATGTCGTCCCATTTCTTGCGTCTAAACGAAAATCAAGCTGGTCTGAGAGGAAGGGGATGTGGTATGGCCACAAGCTGAGAAACTGAATGTAAGGTTAAACATATTAAGCAAGTAACACAACAGTGACAAAAACTGTTTAAATATTTGAGCGAATCACATAAGACAATATGATTGGTATTGATATGCCGATGTAATATAAAACGCGTTCTATATAACAGAGTCAGAAAGATGTTCACAAAAAAGACCTTCCTACGATAAATTAGCTAACGTTGCTTAGAGGGAAAATAAATGCAATATCGGACCCTTACTTGGCGTAGGCAGAGGCTTCTGGCAGGCTTTGGTTTTAATATTTTGTATCACTTTTCCAAGGGATCGGAAGGAGACCGTAAACACATGACTGTTATCAGTGGCTATCTGCCTCAGCTGTGATTTCCTGTATCCTCGTCCAATTCCTAACACGAAGATCTCGCAGCCTGAAGCTCGGAGACGGCGCGCCGGCGAGCTTACACTGTCCTGGGAAACGCCATCAGTGAGCACAACAAGCACCCGTTTCCTACCAGATGCAGGTCTTCCTCTGTAAAGATAGCGTCGGGCAAATGACAGTGCCTTGCCGATGTAGGTACCACCGCGAGGATACCTCAAGTTGTCAATAGCTCTCAAGATGAGGGCTCTAGTATAGTACCGGTTGAAGTTGAAGATGGGTATAGACCGGCTCGTGTACAGGACGACACCGACATGTGTTTCTTGGCGAGATATTGGAAAGAAACTCACGAGAGACTTGACGAAGTTGAGCAGGCGCGCAAAGTTTCCTCTGCCATAACGCTCGATACTGGACGAGCCATCAATGAGAAATCCCAGATCTACGGATATCGCACAAACTAAAGAGAAAGACAGAAAAATAAATGAAAATATAAGTTAGTGAGGGACGGACATAACACAAACTAAAGAGAGACCATTTTACAGTTGTCTGCTCAATGACCCAGCCTTTGAATAGCAGCGAGGCTATATCGAGGTGACCTTGTTTTGATATAGACCTCATTGCTTTCGAAGTGTAAATCAAATTATTCTTAAGCTAACTAGTTTGCATTCAGATGAGAAAAGCAGAGAGGTTTGTATCAAAGCAAGGTCACCTCCAGCCTCGCTTGCTTCATGGGTCAGGTAACTGAGCACACAACTGTAAAATAGACTATTGCAAGTAATTAAGGAAATGACGTTTAATTAGAGTGTTTGGTATAACCAGGACCTGCGGTAATTTTCATCTGAGCATATTTTATAATAGATATTTTATAATATAATAGCGGCCAAAGTAGTCAACCACGTTATGAAATAAGGAAGAAAGACTCTTTGATCCACTAATGACAAACCTGGTCGAGCGGTAGTTGGCTTTTGCGTTGGTCTTGGCGTAGGTACTGAAAATAGACGGAGGAAATAAGATTAGGTTAAGCTGCCTTATAGCTAAACGATCACCTTTCCATCACATTCTGCCATCATGGGCCCTCCGGAAAATCTTTCATAGCATTGTAAATCCTGTCCAAAATTGTAACTCTCAATTTGGTACAGAAATCTAAGTCCATGTAATAGACTTAACTGTGCAGTATATCTACTATACTTGCACGTCAGTATTAAACAAAAACCTATAAATAGCCATTTTCAAAACATAAACCCAACCAAACACATTTGGCTGACTTCTCTGTGTTAATAAGACACTTTAATCAATATTAGCCTTCGATCAAAATCAATAAGGGACTTTTACAGTGTGTTGTCTTCTAGCTGGTCACCAGGCCGTCTAATCGGGATAGCTTCTGCACTATCTTCGAAAAATCGTTGCAGTGGCAACGTTAGGTTAGCTAATGTGATTAAGTTTGTTTGGTTATAACGTGAGTTTCACTACAACTGCCACTTCAGTTCATAGATTAGAGAGTCTGGCGGCGAATACTGACGAAAGAAATTTGACCGACAAACAAATTAACTTTTAATAAAAGCTGTTATTTGAAGCTTCCAGTGTAGATATTCTCTGTTGGAAGAACATCACGGTGGGGAGGGCAAGTAGAGTTATTATGCTTGAATCTCGTTAAAATCTCGTTTAAAGTCTCATCTCCTATTCCTTCGTTGCTAATTTTAAAAAGAGCAGACAACCTCTTCAGTATCTTTTAAGTACCTGTTCTGAAGCACTGCCTCTGCCTAGTAACAATCTGTGCTCGCGTTAAGGCCCTGTTATATATCTGCAAACAAGCAATACGCCCACGAAACACGCGACGGTCCCCTGGTCTCTGACCCACAATGACAGGATAGTTAGTAGCGAGCCCCAGAGTGAATTTTCCGACATTCCTTTGAGATACAGGGTTCCCATTGATCCAAAGAGTTGCAAGACCTGTGCGATGGTCGTAAGTAGCAGTGATGTAGTTCCAAGTGTACCGCTTTAGGCTTCGGGTTGTCAGCGGTTTCACATTACGACGCGAGCCTCGCCTCGGCATCAACCGGAAGTAGAGTTCGTTGGGATGGGTCAGCCACAAATGGAGGCCCCATCCCTTGGGATTGTAGTGTACTATGGGTCCAGGTTTCTCCGGGTAGATCCAGGCAATGATCGTTATAGAGTACCGTGTGTCTAGACACCCGTCGTTTGGAATCAAAGCATAGCTTCCTCTTCTTCTTCTCCCTCTTGTTCTTCGTAGCCCTGGGAAATAGTAAGCTCCCTGTGGATGTCCGTCCGGGCCTTGAATGAATGAGAGCCCCTTTATCTTTGCCGTCGGGTTCCTGTACTTGCTAGCGTCACGTCCGCTTGAGGCACTCGTAAATGGGTAAAGAGCCACAGCTCCACTTGATACGATTACTATACAATGAGAAGAATCCCAAATAAGTATGCCTCTTGCACTGGTATTAGTATAGGTAATCGTATGAATGGGAGTGCATATTAAGGATTTACACTAAGAGTTTACCAAGATCTATCATGATAACAACGTTAAACTCGCTAACCTGTTGAACTGCAAATCTTGTCTTGGATTATTCTACTAAGTGACACCAGTTGTCTTGTATGGACTCTAAACACCTGTTTACACACAGTAGCAATACGCTGCAGTGATTTCCTCCTCACTGTACCCAGACCAATCGCATAAATTTCAACACCGGATGAAAACAAGCGTCCTGCCGGCATTTTTACGGCATCGCGCGACTCTCCTGTTGTCAAAACAATGAGGACCCTTCTGCGTCCGCAACGAGGTCTGCTTCTAAACAGATACCGCTCTGTGTAACTCAGAGCTTTTCCTAGGTATCTACCCCCGCGACCGTTCAATTGGATCTGGTCTATTAGTCTGCCAATTCGTACTGGATTGTAAGTTCTCCCAAAGCGCAAGATCAGCCTGACTCTAGAGGTGAACTGTACGATGCCGATTCTCGTTTTGGAGACGGATACTTCAAAACGCCTGATTGTGTCCTTGATGAATCGCAGGATCGCGCGGGAACCGTATCTGCTGCGGGATGCGTCAACGAGGAAGCCAAGATCGATTCGCTGCCTACAAACTAAACATTTTATGGGAAAGAAAGTAAGGTTACGGCTCTCACAGTGAATATACTTTTTAGCTCTTTAACATTCGTGAGAAGTTGCATAAAATGATGTAGACACCAACGGTAGGGCAGTCAGAAAAACAAAGTCTTATCAAAATCCGTCAGTTTCGTTTAGCATGGCCTGTGCTTTACAGCAACTGAATGCCTCGTACTAGGAATAATTAGTTGTTGTTCTTAGTCTTTCCTAACGATCTTTTGTAACACGCTACTTTTTGGCTTTCGACCGAATGATGTTAATAAATTATTCTCACTAAGATAAATACAAAGTCAGCCTTACCACGTGGGGCTGGTGTTGGACTAGGCTTGGGAGGAACAGTAGGAGGTGGAACTGCAAAAGAAAATCATATATGACAACCCTTACCTCGGCTTAGGTGTTTGCTAAACTTAACAAGTTGCTTGAAGTCCAAATGTATATAGTAGTCCAGGGGCCCGTTTCTCGAAAGCCCCGGAAACCTTTCGGGCCCGTAGAGCCATTTGTAGTTCATCTATGTCTACAAACGGAGAAGTGTATACGCCTGAAACTTCTTCTATGAAGGGAGCCTCTGTTCATATTAAGAATACGTGAACAAAACAGCTTTGTAATCGTAAGGTTCGTTCCGGTCCCGAAAAGTTTCCGGGGCTTTCTAGAAACGGGCCCCAGGGCCCGGTAGTTCGAAAGGTGGGTAACGCTATCCACTGGATAAATCACTATCCATGGTTTGTTTTGTGAACACTTATCCGCTGGATAGAGATTTACTCGGTGGATTGTGTCATCCAGCCTCCTAGAAACCGAGGTCAGATGGTAAATTCAAACATACTAGTCTCAGTATAATTCTTGAAATCACCTTTCTTCGTCACGTAGTATAATTCTCATGCAGTGAAAAAATGGTTATTTTCCTTTTTTCTTTCTTTTTTTCCAGTTTTTGATCTTAGTACAAAGTAAGTACAAAAGTCTTTTGTTGTTGTTATAAAGGCGAATGGGGCGGAGTTGAATTCTTCATAGCCGTTACTTGGGTCGCCACACAACGGTTTCCTTGTTCTCTACTTAGTGGAGAGGAGCGTTACCTTCGTCACGTAACGTGAGGGTTAAATAAAGGCTGCGAAGGAGATAAATTAAGGAAAACGAAACTACTTAAGCCCTCTTTCCCTAATCGGGTATAGTTTACTGCAATTATAAACAGAACACAGCAAACGCAAACCTGGTAGAAAGCACCTCCTCTTGGCCCGGAAAATCTGTTTCTTGTTAAGCGCACGGCTGTAGACCTGCGCACAAAAGAGTCTTCCATGGAAGTAACGCCTGTCGCCAATCCGAGCGCCAAGCCTCACGGGATAGTTGGTGGATAACTGTATGCGGCCGATTCTTCTATATGCAACTGGTATCGAGTTAATGTACAGGGTGGCAATGCGAGTCCTTCGGTCGTAGGTTGCACCCACATAGTTCCAAGCCTTGTATTTCATACGTCCACTTGTAATCGGCCTCGTAAAACGCCGCGACCGTGTCACAAAGCGCGCGAAAAGTTGGCGCCGACCTGTCATCCATAAGTGGACGCCGAAGCCTCGTGGATTGTAATTAAAGATAGGCCCTGATACGCCTTCATGGAACACCCAAATAAGGATGGTTATTGAGTATCTAACGTCCAATTTTCCAGTGTTAGGAATTTCAACGTAGCTGTTTCGTCGCCCATAGAACCGTAAAGATCCGTCCCGGCGACCATCTGGGCCTTGGGCAGTACCCACACCCATGAGAGAAGCTGATGGGGCCTTAGTTCGGCTGATGTCTCTTCCACGTCTCAAACCGTCTAATGCGTACACGACTAAGGATTGTGGTATAACAACTGCAACAGATATTACCATGTAAGCTATATTTTGTATAGTCGCATTTATAAAAAATTCTCGAACGTGATCGGTTCTCCGCGAGCTCATTTGTCACGTAATCGGTGCGCAATCACATGGGTGTCCAATTATAGGTATCCAATTACAACTGTTTGTAACTGGATATCTGTAATTGGATACCTACACTATTGGCACGACAATTACGTGCACTTCAATAGCTTCCTTCTTAATGTTGCCTACAGTTTTTAAAGCTTACGGAAAACACTATTTTTTGGCTCAAAAGAAGTTCTTAAAATACTATTTTGACAATCTCAAAATTTGTTATTGCTACGATTAATTAGTAATTGGACCTCGTGTCGTACAATTCAGGGAGTAATCATGCTCGTAATTTCAAATCGGCCTTGTAATGCGCCCTCTTCCGATCTTCCGGTTATTCCCTGAATTGTACTCCACCCGGTCTACTATTTATTACTTACAATTATTTTCAAATAATAATAAGTTAACGATTGTAC